GCAAGGTGTGGTGGCTCAAACCTGTCATTTCAGCTGCAGGAGAAGTGGAGGTAGGAGGAATGTGGTCTGAGGCTGATCTGGATAAAAATCAATTGAGAGTCCCAGCTGGGCACTGGTGGCTCATGCCTGTAATCCTAGCTATTCCAGAGGGTGAGATTTAAGCGTTGCCCTTCAAAGCCAGCCCAGGCAGAGAAAGTCCATGAGACTCTTTTCTTTTGTCGGTCATGAGGCCTGAACTCTGGGCCTGTCCCTCTGCTCTTCAGCTCAAGTCTAATGGTCCACCACTTGAGCCAGAGCACCACTTCTAGCTTTTTCTGCTTATGCGTTGCTGAGGAATCCAACCCAAGGCCTCATGCATGCAAGGCAAGCACTCTACCACTGAGCCACCTTCCCAGCCCATTAACTACCAGAAAACCAGAAGTGGCACTGTGGCTTAAGTGGTAGAGTGCTAGCCTTGAGCTGAAGAGCTGAGGCACAGTGCCTAGGCCCAGAGTTCAAGCCCAGTGACCAACCAAAAAAAGAAAAAAGAACCTTCTAGCTAGACACTGGTGGCTCATGCCTGTAATCTTAGCTGCTCAAGAGGCTGAGATCTGAGGATCACGGTTCAAAGCCAACCCAGACAGGAAAAATCCATGAGACTTTTTTTTTTGGAGGGGGAGGGGTCAGTCGTGGGGCTTGAACTCTGGGCCTGGGCTCTGTCCCTGAGCTCTTCAGCTCAAGGTGAATGCTCTATCACTTGAGCCACAGCACCACTTCCAGTTTTCTGGTGGTTAATTGGAGATAAGAGTCTCACAGACTTTCCTGCCTGGGCTGCCTTTGCACTGTGATCCTCAGATCTCAGCCTCCTGAGTAGCGAGGATGACAGGTGTGAGCCCCTGGCATCTGGCTCCATGAGACTCTTGTTTTCTGTTAACTACCAGAAAACTGGAAGTGGCACTGTGGCTCAAGTGGTAGAGCACTCACCTTGAGCTGAAGAGCTCAGGGTCAGCATGCCCAGGCCCAGAGTTCCAGCCTAAGAAAGAAAGAAAGGAAGGAAGAAAGGGAGGGAGGAAGGAAGGAAGGAGGAAGGAAGGTAGGAAGGAAGGAAGGAAGAGAGAGAGGCAGGGAGGGAGGCAGGAAGGGAAGGAGGAAGGAAGGAAGGAAGGAAGGAAGGAAGGAAGGAAGGAAGGAAGGAAGGAAGGAGGAAGGGAGGGAGGAAAGAAGGAAGGAAGGAAAGAAAGAAAGAGAAAGAAAGAAAGAGAGAGGGGGAGGGAAGGGAAGGGAAGGGAAGGGAAGGGAAGGGAAGGGAAGGGAAGGGAAGGGAAGGGAAGGGAAGAAAAACTCTGGAAATCACGTGGCAGCTATCTTGTGTACGTTTCCAGCCTGGTGTGGGTCTCACATGGTTTTCTGAGCTGCCAGCAGCAGTGGCACACATCCACTCACTTGCTGAGGAAATAAATTATGGCTCTTAGCCTAGAGAATGTCAATTCTAGCTTTTACTTTTTAAGCTAGTTGTGGAGCTTGAACCCAGGGCCTGGGTACTGTACTTAAGCTCTTTTGCTCAAAGCTAGCACTCTACCAGTTAAATCACAGCTTCACTTCTGGTTTTCTGACAGTTAATTGGCAATTCTGGGTTCTTGATTCAGCCATGGAGGAAAGACCAGGCTGAGCCCATAGAAATCGGGTGCCTCCCCCTTGGGGTAGGCGGGCCTTAGTGAGTCCCTCTCTCCTTACACGCCTCCAGTGGAACAGTTGGCCTTTCCAAGTATTGTTGGTGATGATGGCAAAATCCCAGAATTCCAGCAGGATTTAGGGAGAGTGTGTCACCCAGAAGAAAGTCAAGTTGGTTCTTGTGCAGACCAAATGGCTTCAGCTGGCATCAGCAGGTATGGATGAACCATAGTCTCTAACATGTTCTACCAGATGTGTATCCCATAGGAGATCTGGGCTAGAAAGTTCCACTGAGGAGCTATAAGGAATAATTAGAAGATTGGTGCTGGTGTCTCACAACTGTAATCCCAGCTACTCAGGAGGCTGAGATCTGAGGATTGTGACTTAAAGCAGACTGGGCAGGAAAGTCCATGAAACTCTTATCTCCCATTGGCCAGCAAAAAAAAAAAAAAAGAAAGTGGTGCTGTGGCACAAGTGGCAAAGCACTAGCTTTGAACAAAAAAGCAAGAGACAGCACAAGCTGAGAACCTCGGACCCAGCTGATTAAGGAGAAACAAAGTAAGTTCATAGACTTACTTCTCTTTTTTTCTTTTTTTATTTATTATGGGGCTTCAACTCTGGGCCTGGTGCTGTCCCTGGGCTCCTTTTTTTCTTAATTTTTTTTGTCAGTCGTGGGCCTGAACTCTGGGCCTGGGCACTGTCCCTCAGCTCTTCAGCTCAAGACTAGCTCAAGCTCTACCACTGGAGCCACAGCGCCACTTCCAGCTTTTTCTGCTTATGTGGTGCTGAGGAATCGAACCCAGGGCCTCATGCATGCAAGGCAAGCGCTCTACCACTGAGCCCCCTTCCCAGCCCTCCCTGAGCTCTTTTTGCTCAAGGCTAGTGCACTATGACTTTGAGCCCCAGTTAATTGGAGATAAGAGTCTCACAGACTTCCCTGCCTGGGCTGGCTTTAAACCATGATCCTCAGATCTTCAGATCTCAGCCTCATGAGTAGCTAGGGTGACATCATGAGCCACTAGGGCCTGGCCATAGAATTACTTTTGATCATGGTAATGCATAGATGAAAATTAATCATGAAGAATGTTCTAGAACATACATAGGGGGCAGTTCACCAAAGTGGTCAAGAAAAGGTGACATCCAAGCTAAGATTGATGCTTTGAAGAGAGCTAGACAAGGGCCATCTTGAGCTTCATGTTTCCTAGAGCTGAGCCAAAGGAAAAGGGAGAGGGAGGGACAAGAGGGGAAGGAAGCAGGGTATTTGGGAGCCATGGAAGGTAATGGAGAGACATAGCCTGATTTGGCTTCCCCGATTCTCTGATCATCAGGTTGCTGAGTGTGGGATCAGGACGTCTATCAGGGGTCTCTGGAGGGGGCTGGGTGGGACTGTGGATACGTCGAGGCTTCATGGGGGTAGGGCCAGGTGGAGCAGGTGCTAACTCTGCATCCAAGATGATGGGTGTGGGGACCTGGAGAAGGGCCGTGGGGGTGGTGGCAGCTCATGGCTAGCACTTCTCCCCAGGGTGGGGCAGGAGCTTGGGGCCTTCTGGAAACTGGCTGAGCAAGGCCACCACCTGACTCACAGTAGAAACTGGGACAACCCCTTCCCACCCATCTCCAAAGTCCCCACTAGGGACAGTGACAGTAAATTCACAGGCTCTGGGGCCTGAACCCCTCTGAACCCAAATGCTGGCTGCCCATAGCCAGGTCCTGCCTCCCTGTGGCTGCCTCCACCCAGGCCTTCTGTCCTGATTGCCTTCTTGAAACTTCCATGGCCACTTTTCTGCCCTGTTCCTAATCCCATGAGGCTGGGAGTGTCTGTGTCCCATTTCATCTGATCATGAGAATAAGATTCTGTAGAGGACAGGGAGCATATGAAACACTCTTTATCTAGGGCACCCAATATCTACTTTGAGTTTCAAGATCTGGAGCCAGGTTTGCTGCCTTAGGATTCTAAGACCTGAGAATCGTAGTTCAAAGCCAGCCCAGGCAGAAAAGTCCTGAGACTCTTAACCTCAATTAACTACTAGAAAACCAAATGTGGAACTGTAGCTCAAAGTAGCAGAGCACCAGCTTTGAGCAAAAAATTCTCAGGGACAGTGCCCAGGCCTGAGTTCAAAAGCCATGATGAACAATAAATAAATAAAAAAAATTTTAAATAAAAGATAACCACAAGCTGGTCACCAGTGGCTCATGCCTGTAATCCTAGCTACTCAGGAGGCTGAGATCTGAGGATCACGGTTCAAAGCCAGCCCAAGCAGGAAAAGTCTGTGAGACTCTTATCTCCAATAAACCACCAGAAAACTGGAAGTGATGCTGTGGCTCAAGTGGTAGAGCACTCTCCTTGAGCTGAAGAGCTGAGGGACAGTGCCCAGGCCCAGAGTTCAAACCCTGCAACAGCCAAAACACACACACACACACACACACACACACACACACAGCCAGAGTACAGTGTTGGCTTAGGTGGTAGAGAATTGAACAACCAGAATTCAAACCTCAGTACTATCACCAAGAAAAAATAAATAAACTCAAGCCAGAAGAAAGGTGTGATGTAAACATGTAATTTCAGTTCTTGGGAAGCTAAGACAGCAATCTAGGCAATTCAGGGCTAGGAGTATGGCTTCGTGGTAGAGTGCTTGCTTAGCATGCATGAGGCCCTAGGTTCGATTCTTCAGTACCAATAAGCAGAAAAAGCTGGAAGTGGCACTGTGGCTCAAGTGGTAGAATGCTATCCTTGAGCAAAAATTGCTCAGGGACAGTGTCCAGGCCTGGGCACTGTCCTTGAGTTCAAACCCCAGGACTGGCAAAAAAAAAAAAATAGAAATATAGTCAATTCAAGTGGAGCCTGGGTCGTGTAAGTTCAGGCAAGCCTGTGCTACATAATGAAGTGCTATCTCAAAAAATAGGCTTTTTGGTCAGGCCTAGCTACTCAGGAAGCTGAGATCTGAGGATCACAGTTCAAAGCCAACCGGGGCAGGAAAGTCCATGAGACTCTTCAATAAATCACTCAGAAAAAGCTGGAAGTGGTGCTGTGGCTCTAAGTGGTAGAGCACTAGCCTTGACCACAAAGAGGCTCAGGGATAGCACCCAGACACTGAGTTCAAGCCCCAGAACCGGCAGGAAAAAAAAAGAAAAGAGATTGTGACGAAGTGGATGAGAACCGGACTCGAACCCACGGCTGCTCAGGCTCTGGTTTCTCCTGGCATTTATCCAGGCTGCTCCCGCCTCTGACTCCTCCCCTTAAAACTCCGCCCAAACCCTGGTCCCGCCCCCGGCCCCACCCCCTGCACGCCGTCCAGCGTCCCGGAAGTGTGTTCTGCGAAGTGGAATGGCGCGGAGCACGCCGGGAGTTGTAGTTCTTGCGTTGGACGGAAGCCGAAGCGGACGCGCGGCGGCATGTGGCACTCAGTGTTGGTGCGGGAGGCCTTGGTGGTGGCGGGCCGGTGTCGCGCTTTGGGGCCTCGTCTCGCTGCCCGCGTCCCCGCACAATGGACGCCTGTGAGCGGCCTGGCCCTGCAGCGGAGCCTACACGTGTCGGCGGCCCGGCCTCTCCCGCTCATTCCCATTGTGGTGGAGCAGACGGTACGGCGGCTCGGCGAGGACACGGCCCGGGGCGGGGAGGAGGGCCCCTCCCCCCGCGGCTCCCTGACCTCTCACCTCCTCCCCCCCCCCACTCCCCCCTCCAGGGTCGCGGTGAGCGCGCCTATGACATCTACTCGCGGCTGCTGCGGGAGCGCATCGTGTGCGTGATGGGCCCGGTGAGCGCCCCGCGCCGCCCCGGCCCCGAGCGTCCGGAGCCCGGGCCAGGCCGAGCCCCTCTGAGCCCCTTCCTCCCGTCAGTTCCCCCTCCAAGTCGCCCCTCCCGATCACCTGCGACCCCCAGGTCCTCTCCTTCCTGGGCCACAGGCCCCAGACGCGATGACCCCGCCCCTACCCGCATACCGAGCCCCCAAACGCGGCCCCCTCTTCCAGCCCCCTTCAGGGTCCTGAACTCTTCCTGACCACCACCTCCCCTCTGTGTGTGTGGGGGGGGGGGGGTGTGGGTGTGGGTGTGGGTTTGTGTGTGTGGACTCGAACTCCGCGCCTGGGCGTTGACCCTGAGCTTTTTTGCTCAGGGCTAGTGCTCTACCACTTGAGGCACAGCTCCACCCCTGGCTTTTTGATGATTCATTGGATATAAGAGTCTCAGGGACTTCCCTGCCCAGGCTGGCTTCGAACTGCAATCCTCAGATCTCAGCTTCCTCAGAAGCTAGGGTAGCTAGGATTACAGGCGCGAGCCACCAGCAGTGCCCTGCATTCCTGACCCGTCTTATTTGGGCTCTGCCCCCCTCCCTCTTCCTGATTCCTTGACCCAGGTCCCTTCACCCTTCCGTTAAATCTTCTCCCCACCTCCAATCCACCCCCGCCCCCATTCTCCCCGCATACAGATCGATGACAATGTGGCCAGCCTGGTTATTGCACAGTTGCTGTTCCTACAGTCCGAGAGCAACAAGAAGCCCATCCACATGTACATCAACAGCCCTGGTGAGCAGGGCCTTTCTCTGGGCAGGGCTGTTCCTCGGGAGGTGCCAGGGCTCTGGGCACCAACATCCCTGGTCAGGGATGGCCAGACCCAAGTAAAGGTGTGAACATTCTTCAGAAACCCTAGAGTATCTTGAAACTATAAAAGTTTGCCTGTGGCGCCTGTGTCCACCCCCAGTATGCATGCTAGGCAGGTACTCTACCACTTGAGTTACTCTCTTCAGTTGTTTTCCAGATAGGGATTGTCTGGCACTTGATCACGATCTTCCTACCTCTGCCTCCTGCACACTTAGTATGACAGGTGTATAGCACAGAGCCCAGTTTATGGGTTGAGCTGGGGGGTCCAGTTAATCTTTTGTCCAGGCTGGCCTAGAACCTTGATCTTCCTGATCATCACCTCCCAAGTCAAGATGCCTGATGTATTTCTTTTTTTTTTTTTTTAATCTGTCCTGGGACTTGAACTCTGGGCCTGGGCACTGTCCCTCAGCTCTTCAGCTCAAGGCTAGCATTTTACCACTTGAGCCACAGCGCCACTTCCAGCTTTTTCTGCTTATGTGGTGCTGAGGAATCGAACCCAGGACCTCGTGCATGGCAAGGCAAGCACTCTACCATTGAGCCACCTTCCCAGCCCCTGCCTGATGTATTTCTATTTTTAACTTTTAGATTCAGTACCACAAACCCACAGCTGAATTCATACATATCTTTTTTTTTGTTTTGTTTTGTTTCATTTTTGTTGGTCATGGGACCTGAACTTTGGGCTTGGGTGCTGTCCCTCACCTCTTCAGCTCAAGGCTAGCACCCTACCACTTGAGCCACAGCATCACGTCTGGCTTTTTTCTGCTTACGTGGTGCTGAGGAATCGAACCCAGGGTCTCGTGCATGCAAGGCAAGCACTCTACCACTGAGCCAACTTCCCAGCCCAGACACATACTGTTTTTTTACCAACTTGATTGTATCCACATTTTGAAATTGCTTATTTTTTTCCAGGTGTAGCAGTACACACTAGTAATTCCAGCATTTTGGAATCTGAGGCAAGAGGACCATGAGTTCAAGACCAGCCTGAACTCAAAAACTCTGTTTCAAACAGACCAAAAAGAAGCTTTTTTTTTTCCTTGTCCCATTCCCAAGAAAAGCATAGGTGATTTGGATCAAGTACTTAATATATGCCAGACAATTTTCAACCAGCTTTTTTTCATCCTTATTCCAAGTGGTAGGCATGGTTTAGTTATCTCCAATGTAGGTGGAGAAACTATGGCTCAGAGAGGCTGAGTAACTTGCCCAAGGCCACACAGAGGATAAACTGTCCAGCTGCAGCTCACACAGTAATCACTGCAGGAAGATGACAGGACTTAACGTCTTAGCTACCACTCTCCTCTGGTTTGTTGTTTCTCATGGGAAATGGCTAGATCTGGTCCCCTTGGCCTCATCCAAATATGGTGACAATCAGCTAGTTCAGATATCTCCCTCCCCATGGCTCCATGACACCCATTTCCCCACCCCTGGACCACTTATGCTTAGGATCTTTGCTGGCAATGACGCCTCTCAGAGCCCTTCCCAGGACTGGGGTGGAGTGGGGTGGGGGAGGCATGACCCCTCTCCTGCACCTCTGTCTGCAGGTGGCGTAGTGACGGCTGGCCTGGCCATCTACGACACCATGCAGTACATACTGAACCCCATCTGCACGTGGTGTGTGGGTCAGGCTGCCAGCATGGGCTCTCTGCTTCTTGCTGCCGGCAGCCCTGGAATGCGACACTCACTCCCCAATTCCCGCATCATGATCCACCAGCCCTCAGGGGGCGCCCGGGTGAGTGAAGGTCTAGAAGCCCCTCCCTTCCTCCCTCCCTCCCTCCCTCCCTCCCTCCCTCTCTCTCTCTCTCTCTCTGGGTACAGAGGGAGATCTAGACAGCAGTGATTGGGCAGAAATCTGGTATAGTGTCTAGATTTTATCTTTTTGCTGCTACAGTGGTTTGAACTTAGGGCCTTGCACTCACTGGGCTGGTGCTCTACCATTTGAGCCATGCCTCCAGTCTGATGTTTTGCTGATTCGTTGGAATTAAGAGTATCTTGGACTTTTTCTGCGGGCTTTACATCTCCATCCTCAGATGTCAGACTCCTGAGTAGCTGGGATTCCAGGAAGGAGCCACCACAGGTTTCAAGGTGAAAGGTGAACGCTGGTCCAGCATGCACAAGGCCCTGGGTTCATCCCGCCGTATGACAGTAAAGAAAAAAAAAAGAGAGCCGGGCGCTGGTGGCTCACGCCTGTAATCCTAGCTACTCAGGAGGCTGAGATCTGAGGATCGCGGTTCAAAGCCAGCCCGGGCAGGAGAGACCGTGAGACTCCTATCTCCAATAAACCACCAGAAAACTGGAAGTGGTGCTGTAGCTCAAGTGGTAGAGTGCTCGGCTTGAGCTGAAGAGCTGAGGGACAGCGCCCAGGCCCAGAGTTCAAGCCCCACGACCGACAAAAAAAAAAAAAAAAGAAAAAAAAGAAGTGGGCTGGGAAGGTGGCTCAGTGATAGAGTGCTTGGCCTTGCATGCATGAGGCCCTGGGTTCAATTCCCCAGCACCACATAAGCAGAAAAAACTGGAAGTGATGCTGTGGCTCAAGTGGTAGGGCTAGCTTTGAGCTGAAGAGCTGAGGGATGGTGCCCAGGCCCAGAATTCAGGAGCCATGACTGACAAAAGAACAGAAAAAAAAGTATATGATTGGGAAGACCAAGCAAGATATGAGGGGACTGAGAAATTCCTCCAAAGTCCAACCTTCATCTTCCTACCTCAACCCCCCAGGGCCAAGCCACAGATATCGCCATCCAAGCAGAGGAGATCTTGAAGCTCAAGAGGCAGCTGTACAACATCTATGCCAAGCACACGAAGCAGAGCCTCCAGGTGATTGGTGAGTACCCAAGCTGGCCCCGCCCCACACAGGCCCCACCCCTGGCGTCATGAGAACAGAGCCCTCCTGTCTCAGCAATGCTCCCAGCGGCGCCACTGGCGGCCATCCTGCCTGTCCTGCCCCCAGCCCACTGTGCTCCGTGCAAGATGTGCATTACTTCTGCCTCAGTACTCCCAGGATCAGCGTCAGCCCTGGGGAGCGCCACGACATGGAGCAATCTCCCCCACAGCCAGTGAAACACAAGCAGATGCTCTCACTACAGTTACCTAAACCTAAAGCATAGTAAAATCAGGAAGGGCACGCTGGTCACGGCTGTGACCCCAGCACTCGAGAGGACCCCGAGGAGGATCCAAAGCCAGCCTGGGCTGCGTAGCAAGTCCCCACAGCTCCACAGCAGGAACAGCGGCTGTGTGCTGTCACAACGGTGCCTGTTCTGAGGTTTGGGGAGCAGGTGGTAGGGGTAGGGGTGAGAGTTGGCCTCACTGGGGCGTCAGGGTGTGCTGGCCAATGCTGTTCCTCCTATCTGCTGATGGGGATGTTGGTCACGTGGGTCTAGTACAAAGTGGGAAAGAAAAACTGAAATCGGTGTTATACTGGTGGGGAGATGAGATGCAGAAGGGAAGCTAAGGCCACACCAGGCCTGCCAGAACCAGGACTGTCTCCCTAGCTTGTGGCTAGAAGTCCAAGGTTATGGTTCCACAGGACTGATCCCTGGCTTGCGGATGACTGCCTGCCTTCTCCCCTCATCCACACATGACCTTTCCCTGGCCTGTAAGAAGTCTCTTTTGCACCCCTGTAATCCTACCAACTCAGGAGGCTGAGATCTGAGCATCTTGGTTCCACACCAGCCTAGGCAGGAAAAGTCTGTGAGACTCTTTATCTCCAGTTAACTAGCAAAAATGAAAGTTAAAGGACAATGCCCAAGCCCTGAGTTCAAGCCCCAGTACAAGTACACATAAGTACACATGCGCTCATGTGCGCGCACGCGTGCACACGCACACACACACACACACACACACAGAATTCTCTTCTGACAAGGGCACTAACGCCATACCTGGAGACCCCACCCTTATGACTTCAGGACTTACCCAGGCCCCATCTCCAAATACCATCCTACTGGGGGCTTGGCGGTTCCACACAGCATTTTGGGGAGCTGTGCACATGGCCTCAGGCTTCTGCTCTTACTGGGTGCTCTGCCTCCCACAGAGTCGGCCATGGAGAGGGACCGCTACATGAGCCCCATGGAGGCACAGGAGTTTGGCATCTTGGACAAGGTCCTGGTCCACCCGCCCCAGGATGGTGAGGATGAGCCAGAGCTGGTTCAGAAGGAGCCTACCACGCCACCAACAGAGCCACCTGCCCCGGCCAGCACCTGAGTGCCAGGCCCCTGCTACAGGGCTCAGACCTCTCAAGGAACTTTGGACGTTGGGGTGCCCCCTTGGTGGGCAGCCTGGCTGAGACACTGTGATTTTAAATTAAATCTTTGTGATCTTCTACACAAACCTTGGCTCACTGCCCTGTGATAATGTGCTCACTCCTGGGTGCCACCCAGCCTCTGGCCACTCTGTGCTCCTCATTCCAATTCTTTTTTTTTTTTTTTTTTTTTGGGGGGGGGCAGTCCGGTCATGGGCCTGAACTCTGGGCCTGGGCGCTGTCCCTCAGCTCTTCAGCTCAAGGCTAGTGCTCTACCACTTGAGCCACAGCGCCACTTCCGGCTTTTTTCTTTTTGCTTATGTGGTGCTGAGGAATCGAACCCAGGGCCTCATGCATGCAAGGCAAGCGCTCTACCACTGAGCCACCTTCCCAGCCCCTCACTCCAATTCTTGAATTAACCCTTCCTCAGCAAACTCCTCAGCATTTTCTTAAGGTCCGGGCTGGAGAGGAAACACAAACGGGCTTCGGATGGCTCACTGTGTCCTCGTGGGGCAGTCAGAAAGGGAAGCTGCAATTCTAAATGAAGTGGTCAGGGAAGGCCTTGCCAAGAAGGTGCCATTCCAGGAGTCAAAGGAGGGGCCACGTGTGTGCACTAGAAAGGAGTAATCCAGATAGAGGGCACAGCCAGTGCCAGAGCCCTGTGGCAGACCTGTGTCTAGTCTGTGGGGAAACCATGAGGCCAGTTGCCAAGGGAGAGAGAAGGAGGGATAATCAAGAATTGGAGGCTAAAGGGACTGGGAAGGTGGCTCAGCCGTACAGTGCTTGCCTCGCATGCATGAGGCCCTGGATTCAATTCCTCAGTGCCACATAAACAGAAAAGGCCCAAACTGGCACTGTGGCTCAAGTGTTAAGTGCTAGCCTTGAGCTGAAGAGCTGAAGGACAGCTCCCAGGCCTAGAGTTCAAGCCCCATGACCACCACCAACAACAACAACAACAAAAATTGGAGGCTGAGATCTAGAGGATCAAATTCAAAGCCAGCTTGGTCAGAAAAGTCCATGAGAGTCTCCCAAAATGACCAGCAAAAAGCTAGGCTGGGCTGGGAATGTGGCTTAGTGATAGAGTGCTCACCTAGCATGAATGAAATCCTGGGTTCAATTCTTCAGTACCACATACACAAGCCAGAAGTTGATATTGTGGCTCAAGTGGTAGCGTGCCAGCCTTGAGCAAAAAAGAAGCTCAGGGACAGCACCCAGGCCCAAAGTTCAAGCCCAGGACTGGCAAAAATAAAAATTAAAAAGCTAGCCTGGCTGGGTGCTGGTGTCTCACACCTGTAATTGTAGCTACTCAGGAGGCTGAGATTTGAGGATTGTTCAAAACCAGCCCCAGCAGGAAAGTTTGTGAGACTCATCTCCAATAAACCACCAGAAAACCAGAAGTGGTGCTGTGACCCAAGTGGTAGAGCTGTAACCTTGAGTTGAAGAGCTCAGGGACAGCGCCCAGGCTCAGAGTTCAAGCCCCACAATTGACACACACACACACACACACAAACTAGTCAAGCCAAACAATGGAACATAAGGCCCTGAGTTTAGACCCCATACAATCCTCTAACTCCCACTCCCCAAGGAGGAGGGAGCTAGGCATGATGGCTCATGCATGTAATCTAGCACTCTGGAGTTCAGTCAGCCTGGAATTACAGCTGTAACCCTGTTTTATTTAGAAAGCATGGCCGCACCACAGAGTAATGTCACCATGTAAGATTTTGAAAGACAAGGACAGTGGCTTCTGAGTGAGGTGGAGTTGTGGGATGGCAGGCAGGGGAGAGTAGCCTGACACCAATGAAGTCATCCAGCTGAAGATGAGTGGTGGACTGAGAGGAAGCTGGGCTTTAGCACTTGGGTAGAAGGAGAAAACTCAGTCTGCAAAACCAAGCTGTTTGGGGTTGGGAAGGTGGCTCATTGGTAGAGTGCTTGCTAGCATGGATGAAGCCCTGGGTTTGATTCCTCCATACCACATACACAGAAAAAGTCGGAAGTGGTGCTGTGGCTCAAGCGGTAGCGTGCTAGCCTTGAGCAGAAGAAGTTCAGGGACGGTGCCCAGGCCCTGTGTTCAAGCCCCAGGACTGGCAAAAATAAATTTTAAAAAGCCCCAAAACTATCGAGGAGGGGACAAAAATGAAGTCTTGCTTTCACCTTTGATCCAACCCTCTACTCTGCAAACTGGGCCGCCTGACACTTGAGCCTTCATCTCACTGTGCTTGTATTCTGCCATTGACCTCTAACCCTAGCCAACTCCATAACATTGGCTTTATCCCAAATCTCCCAAAGACTCAAGCCCTTGGTGCCCAGACACCGGGTAGGAGGTCAGAGTAAAAGAGACGGTGCTGAGGCCGAGCTGCCGACCGACTTTGGACACAACCAATGAAATCTAAGCAACTGACTAAAGGAGGCGGGCTCTAAAGGAGCCAGAAGCTTGGGAGGACGAGCAAGGAGCAACCAGTAGCTTTGAGCAAGAGGCGGGACTCTGAGAAAAGCCAATCGCTGGGGGTGCCTGGCGGACTACAGCCAATGGCTCTACAGAGAGGGCGTGGCCCTAACTCGGGCCTCTCACGGCCGGGCCGGAGGGCTATGGCCGGGAGTGGAGGGCTGTCGCTGCGGACGCTAACTGGGTCTGGCTGGGTACGGGGCTCGTGCCCAGCGGTGCTGAGTCGCCTGAAGAATGCGGCTGTGGTGCGGCCTGGCTTCCTAAGCAAGGCCGAGGAGGAGACGCTGAGCTGCGAGCTGGAACCCGAACTGCGCCGTCGCCGCTATGAATATGATCACTGGGACGCGGTGAGGCCGGCGAGGACGAGGTCGTGCTGGGGGCGGGGCCATGGTGGGAACGGTGCTTCCGGCGGGGGCGGGGCCTAGGACAGCGGGGCGGGGTTGTATTGGGGCGGGGCCATCGGAACACTATCTCAGGTGGGTGGGGCTAGGCCGCGGGGCGGGGCCATCCGGAGGATACCTAGAGCGGGGGCGGAGCCTGTGGTCTCGGGGGCGGGACACGCAGCTTTGGGACTGGGGACCAGAGGCCTCCCGGAGGCCGCTGGGCTACGCTGTGGGTGGCACCTAAAAATAGGGGTCTATGGGACGGATCTGTGGCGGGGCGGAACCTGGAATTCAGGCAGAGGGTTGGGAGCTGTGGGATGGGGAACCTGGGGACCTGAGAACATCTTGGGAATGAGGGCAGGGACACAACTGGAGACAGGATCCTGGAGGTCCCAGGAGTTGTTAGGGCCCACGGGTAGAGGCAGAAAACGATGTGGAAGGAGATGTGCGAAGGAGCAGCGTTTGGGGTGGGACTGGACCTTGGGCAGAGATCCCGTGGGGATTTCAGAAATTGCTAGGATTGTACCTAATGCTAGGTTATAGGGTCCTATAGATTTCATGCCTAGATTAAGGCATGGAAGGATGAAGGTAAGGACTGTGGTCATGATGGGAAAACCAGTCCATTGTTCTGGACTCTGCCCCTCCCTCTCATCCTGATCTCTCATCCCCAGCTTCCAGGCTTGACTTGAGCCCTCTACTGAAATTTTATTTATCATTGCTGGAGATAAAACCCAGGACCTTGCTCATGCCAAGCACACGCTCATGGCTGAGCCCAGCCCTTGACCCCCAACTCTCTGTGCAGGCCATCCACGGCTTCCGGGAGACAGAGAAGTCCCGCTGGTCAGAAGCAAGCCGAAATATTTTGCAGCGAGTACAGTCAGCTGCCTTTGGCCCTGGCCAGACTCTCCTGTCCCCAGTGCACGTGCTGGACCTGGAGCCTCGAGGTTACATCAAGCCCCACGTGGACAGTGTTAAGGTGGGCAGAGACCCAGTGGCTCAGAGCCCTCAGCTGAGGTGCGCAGACCAGGCTAGAGCCTGACCCACCCCATGCCCTCTTCCAGTTCTGTGGGGCCACTATTGCTGGCCTGTCCTTGCTGTCTCCCAGTGTCATGCGGCTGGTGCACACCCAGGAGCCAGAGCAGTGGCTGGAACTTTTGCTGGAGCCAGGCTCTCTCTACATCCTAAGGTATGGCCCTACCTCCAAGGACATGCCAGGTGCCCACCTTGACTGTGAGAACTTCATTCGGTCCTCACGGCAACACTGCAATTACCCTGGGCAGGCACCAGGGGCAGCAGAGACACCCAGACCTGGTCTACCTGGGAAGGAGCAGTCCTTGGTACCTACTCACAGCCAGTTTCTCATACAGGGGTGCGGCCCGTTATGACTTCTCCCATGAGATCCTTCGGGATGAAGAGTCCTTTTTCGGGGAGCGCCGCATTCCCCGGGGCCGACGCATCTCTGTGATCTGCCGTTCCCTCCCTGAGGGCACAGAGCCAGGACAGCCACCCCGAGCCTGCTGATGGCCAAGCTGGTCCCCAGCTTCTTGCACAGACCAGACTTTTGGATGAAGCTGGAGAAGGAACAGCCCAGCCATCCTCCACTGGCTGCCTGCGGGTCCTGAGGCCTGCACAGGGCAGCATCGGCCCACCTGGTGCCATGCTGGCTGGTCAGGGTACACGCCACACAGTCACAAGGCCAGGAGAGCAGCTTCTTTATTACACTCATTGCTGGTGCCCCTGCCCATCTCCCCTTCCTTCTAGTCTTTTCTGTATTCAGATCTCCAATAAATATTAGCCAAGTGAGCTCTTCAAGCCGTAGCTCTTCTATTCATGGCTCCGGGGCACCCGGGTGGCTGGTCACCCTCAGCCACAGCCACAGGCAGCCGCTGAGAGCTGGGGCAGCCGCTGCCAGCGGAGGCGATCATCAAGAAAGGCCACATCAGCATAGCGGGTGGGCCGACAGCAGGGTCCCCCATGGGCTCGGCCCTGGCCCCGCAGCCGGGCCAGCATGAGGCCATGCTGGGTGCGGGCGCCACGGAGGCAGCTGCCAGCGCAGTAGTGGAAGATGACCTTCTCCTCCGAGGCATAACCCAAGCCCAGCTCGGCCACCGGCAGGGTCAGGCTCCATAGCTGGCACGCAGTGGCCAGGGCTCGGCGAGGGCGGAGCTGGGGGTGGGGGGCACCTGGGGGAGAGAAAGCATTGATTTGGGGCAGGTGTCAGCAGAAAGGTGATGGGAAGTCACTGGGGGGTCCTTG